GCAACGCTCAATAATTAAATAAAACTAAAAATTTGCAAGTCAAATGTTCTCCATATAGACATGTCGATATTGTAAAAAGAAAAGTGACAATAAAATACCTACATAGCATAATTTCATGATGGGTGTCTATCTATCTATCTATCTATCTATCTATCTATCTATCTATCTGTCTGTCTATCTATCTGTCTGTCTGTCTGTCTCTATTGTAGGGATAACAGATGTAGATGGCAAGGTAAAATATATAAATATATGAAGTTATAAGGTATATGTGTGTGTATATAAAATAGTAGAGCAGATTGTGTGAAATATAGATAAGCATGTGATATGTTGCAGGATGGTTCCTTCTGACTGACTGAAAACAAGCAGTTGTGAGTATGGTTTCCCAAAAGCCCTTTTGAGCATGCGAGCCGCTGACGTCACGGAGAGCCTGTTGCAGTGTAACAGTTAAATGTAATATAATATCATCGCATTCTTCAGGGGCTGTGAGAAAATGTCCAGAATAACAAAGAATTAGTTTGCAAATATAGCTTTGGAGATGGGAATAGAAGCTACTGTAACTAAGCCCTGGACCCCTTGCACCAGCAGACATACATTTCAAGAGAAGCCGACCTGTTTATTCCGGCTATATTGTTGTGAAACAATATAGTGACCACGGGGTTAAATTGCAGTACGTCAGCATAGAGAGTATAGTCAACCATTTATTGGATGAACAGTTTTAATGTGGTACAGATCCAATTGGTCTTAATTATTAGCCTAAGCATAATATTTTTAGATACAAAATATATCATCAAACAAGTATGCTGTGTCACATGATTTATTTATTTTTTTTGCATTTTTATCTGTTCCAATTAGTTAAAAATCTAATTATAATTTGTAATAGTTTATAATGTTTCAATATGTAGCAAATGACTCATTTAAGTAAAAATGTTGACTTGCTAACATATAGAACAACAAAACTTGGAACTTGTTATGGAAATTACTAACGAGCTCTTAATGGACTTTCACTTCTAAACATTTTGTCATCTATTTATAGAGAAAACATATATATTGGAAAACAAAGAAAGTGAGACACTCCTGGGGGGCGTGAGCAGACTGTTAGGGTCCACAGCGCTGCCTGAGTGTGTATGAATGTTTCACAGTGTTTCAGAACAGCTATAAGCAGTAAATTTAATATATACATGACCGACCAGTGGGAGGAAACAACGGCTGTTTCCATGACAACTACCACAGTGATTCATCTGTCATGTGGTGGGATCAGTTCCTTCTATGGGCTGTTGAATGGTCAGCAAGGCTGATCTGCTTCCTCTCACAGTTGTCCCCAGGCTGTATTTCCAGAATATTGTTTCCATACAGACATGTGGTCCCTCCCCTCTCTTGCAAAAACATTTTAGATCCTGTATCTTTTGCCTGTGTCACATCAGGAGAAAGCAGCTGAGGGAGTCTAACACTTGCACTAAGATGTGTGTCATGCAGCAGCTGATATATATGGTGATGTATTATTATTTTTTCTTTTATTAAAAATATATTATAACCTTGGAAGTTTTGCCATTTTGGTGAGTGAAGATATTTGGTCTTTTAAATCTCAAAAAAAAGATAAGCATATAATGTTTTGTCTTAGCCATGCACTCCGCGAAAGTATTATGGAATGATAAAGCCATAGAAATTGAATCAATCACGCATCCTTTGAAAGCTAGAAATCCATACTTATTCCTAAAGAAATTAAACAGACTGTTGAGTGTTTAACCAAGTCAATCGAGAGATCAAAATGTAAATCCAAGAGCTCCATTTATCCATCCGTTCATCCATCCATCCATCAAACCATCCATCCATCACTTATCCTTCACAGGGTTACGGGTTCATACTTTTATTTTGCATTTCATATTGCAAAAAAGCAGATACAATAAATCTCTGATCCATCAAATATATTGCTTATTTTGGTTAAAGGTTGAAACTTACCCTGGGGCTTTAATTTCATGAAATATTAATCTGCATTGGCCTGTGGGGTTCATTGTTCAGAAATTGAGGTGACAGAAATGCATTAATACTACATTTGTTGGCTTCATTCAAATAATGATGTGGTTCATATATGTTTAGTACAATGGTATTTGGAAAATTCTTATTAGTTGTATATTCTTGTATATTAAGAGAAACTTTGATTTTTCATTTTTTAATTTCTATTTGGCCAAATTGGTATTCACTTAACGCCCTGCAGTGTGTTGGCGACTGCCCAGGTTTGGTTCCCGCCTGTGCCCATTGTTCCCAGGATAGGCTCCGCCCCCCCCGCGACCCCGGTTAGGATTAAGCGGTTACGGTGATGGATGGATGGATGGTATTCACTTAACTCTAGCGTTCATGAGCACAGAAAAGCAGATGATTTGTTTTTACTCAGGAGGGTCAACAAAGGAACACAAAGCAGTCTCGCAATCGCACTGAGTACAATAACTCAAGCCATCCCCCCCGAAGATAAGAATTAGAGTCACTCTGTTTTTCCTAGAAGTGTGAACACCATCAGGGATAGCCAAGGGAGCTTCTCCGTCTTTAATAGCTAGTCTGCGACTGTTTTTGACAGATCTCTAGTTTAGACAAGAAGCTACACTTGATCTCTGAGTTAACTGGTTAGCTAACTGGAGATCCAGGAAATTCCCTAAATTTCTTTGGCCATGCAGGCAGACATACTGTTTGCCGGCACTGCAAGCGCAGCTAAGCTAGACCAGCAGAAGGACCACACTGCTCTTGCTGTTGCCACAGTGTTCCAACAAAGATTCAGCCAACATGAATCCAGAGAATATATGTGGGACAACCTAACTAGTCGCCAGAGAGGAGACCAGGAGAGCAGCTGATCTCCAATTTTATGCTTGATGTAAGTAGAAAGACGTCTCTCCTGCAGCCCAGGAGCTACTGGCCCTGCATTCCTTCCTTCAGGCTCTGAAACCAGTGGTCCCCTGGTTTATATCCTACAACAGTACCTGATGGGCTATCCAATGGAATGACTTTCAGTGGGTATATTTGGAACCTTGTGTTGAATTAAGTTAGGTAACCATTACATGATTGTAGCTATGGACTACTTCACAAAGTAGGCTGAATGCAGTCAGCACAACTGCTGACAAACCTGTGGAGGAAACGTCTTGCTGCTTTGTGGTACTGAAAGCACATTTTCTAGGGGTGAGAAATCTTACCATTCTGGGATCTGGAACACACAGTGTTACTATATTACATCCACATAGTTGCATCCCCACACCTGTGATGTCTGAGCTACACAATCCAGTAGATTTTTACACAACAACCAGTAGATTTTTACAACCAGTAGTGCCTGGAGAGGCTGGATAGGAGTACCAGCACCACCTTTGGTGATGTCTGGACTCCACCCATTAATTTCCCAGAAGGCAGAAGGTGCCCGACAGAACAGGGCCTACGATCCTTGCTGCAAGTGGCGGCCATTTCAACCAAGAGAAGTTGCTTAGGTTTATACATCGTTATGGAAATGAGACTTTCCACCAAAGCCTGTCAGCTGGTGGTAAGGGGCCCTGTACTGCGACAGAAAGGCCCTCAGATGTGATGTTCCATATACTGTGGCCTACACAGTGGCCTCTTACCACCTACATGTTCCCCTCCGCAAGACTGCCAACTTTGGTCTGGAGCCTGGAGTTAGATTTGCAGTTCGAGACTAGTCTGCACGCACACGCAAACACATTTACATGTATGTAACAGTCACGTCATCTTCTAAATTGTAGGATTTGCAAACCATACCCTAACCCTTTCAGGTTTATAATGGAATAATAAAGATTTGCTGTATGATTTCTTGCGTGAGAGTCTGAAAGTGTAAGTGTTACACCAGATGCAGGAGAGAAGGTAACCCTGTATTGTGTACCAAAGCCATTGCACGGCATCCATTCCCAGATATTTGTGGATTTTATACCTGCCTAGGTTGGCCGTCAGGGGTAAAGAGAAGCCAAAGAAGCATGCCAGAATAGGACTGCAGGACTGGGTGGTGAACCTTCAGGGTCTGCTGACCCATTAGCTGGAGGCAGGTGTTCTGACAAAACGTCCTACTTTATCAAAACATCCTACCATAGTGCTAATCGATAGCCCTAACCCTAATTCTTACCCTAACCCCCCAAAAAACCCTAAAACTCTTACCTTAACCCTAACCCTAACCCCTAAAACCCAACCCTAATCCCAAGACGGTGGAGCTGCACATGCACAGAAAGGCCCGATAGCACGTCTCGATAGGTAGGATGTTTTGTCAGAACACAGGCGGTGTAGAGCAAGCGTCTGACAGGCTTCTAAGAGTCTCAACATCCCAAAATCTCCTACAGCTGTTTAAAATGTGATGGAATTGCTTATTTGTAAATAGCGTCTTAATTTTGTTGGATTTATTCTGATGATAAGTGTCTACAGATGCACCCAAGACTCCCCTTGTCTCTCCTTGTTTTCCCTCATCCCTTAAAGTGGCACGTGTGTGATTTGCTACCAGGAAATGCTACCAATTTTGCAGCTGAGGTAAACTACGAGTATACGTTCATGTCGTTGCCTCGTAAAATTCGGTTAGTAAAAAAAAAAATTTACTGCACACAGAAAACAAAAGGGAATGTTGTTCTTCATAATAATGCTAGTCTAAATTTTATAGCTTTCAGAGAGAATGACAATTCCTTCGTAAAGCTACAGTCATAGAACAAAATACCTGCATATGTCGCAGTGACGGTGACTGAGGTATTGCAAATATTAATTTCAATCCATCTAATTATTCGACCTTCATAGTTTGTTTTTTTTTTATGAAATTGTATCAAAAATGTTTTACATATCACAGTGATAAATAATAATTTCTGTTTCACTCTAATTATATTTCATGATTTACACTCGTAACATCAACTACCCACAGACCGCCAGCTCCGCCGTTTCACCACTAACAAAAAAAACTCACCCCGCCGTATATTTATACCCTAGAGTTCTCGGCATTAATTTCATATTTAGCGTCCACCAATGGCGTGCGGCTGCGCGGTGACGTCACGGGCTCGGAGACGGCGAGGAGCTGGTGGAGCATCAAGGCTGCCGGAGGAGCTGGGCTTGCGGGGTCAGGAGCCCGTCTGACAACAGGATGGAGGTTCTGTCCATGCACTGTCTCTAGGATTTTTTTTTTTGCATTCCGGGATGTACTCCTCAGAGAATGCGATCCAGAGTCTGAACGCACAGGGAGAGCATTTCAATATGAGATTCAGGTAAATGCACTCGCCATTTTAACGTTATAGACGGCGGTCTTTGCAGTTGCGTCTTTTTTTTCATTTCTGTCACATTTTGTCACGAAAACGGTAGCCCGGGCTAGCTGAATCGTGGTGTTCAGTCAGCGAAAGACAGGCGAAAATGTGTGCATGCAGCAATTGTGTTTTCGGTTATTGCTCTCTGAGTTTTTTTTAAGTGATCTGTGTAGATGCTCCTTTCTCCTGAAAGCATCTTTGTTTATGTGGGAGGTTTGATTAAGTGCGGCGATTATTGTAGTGTTATTTTAAGAGCTGCAATTGCCCTGTCTCTCTGGAATGCCACATGTAATCAAAAAGATATGTCGGAGACCGAATGAAGGAATAAAAGCGGACTGGTGTCCCCCTTTATTTATCTAAGAGGTGTTAATGGAGGCTGCTAGGTACAATTCCACACCTTTGTTTCCTCTCATGTCTTTATACGAATTTTGCGTGGGGATTTTCAGGTTTTCATCGCCTCGCTTTAACGGTTTCTTAGTATATGTTTGTAAAAGACCCGGTAATATGGCCTGGCGTTTATACACGATGAAGCAGAGACAATTCATAATAGGAGGAGGGATGGGGGTGGGCATTTTTATGGCTGTACCTACCCATCGCGGGCCTCGGATGCTGTGTTTTCAGTACTGGGGAGTATCAATCAGTTTGCACCCATTTGTCTGTGAATCAGTAATCGGTCATTTTATCTGTGGCGGGTGACCGTGAACCGGGCGCTGCCCCTCTCCAGTCGCTTCGCCCCGGTGATCAGGGAGATGGGAGGCGGTGGGGGGGTGGCTGTCGGCTGGGGTTGCTGTGTCATCATCACATCTGAGGATGTGGCTTCAACCTCCTCACCCACCCCACCCCCCCATATCTTTCTACAGGCTGTGGTCCAATAACATCCATGCCTGTAGTAGTCATTCCAGTCCCATAGCCCCTCAACACCCTCATTCTGATAATATTCACCACCCAACCCCCATTCTTTCAGACAGAAAACCACTAAACCAGATGTGTTGCTGAGGAGCATACATTAGACCCGTTCGCTTGTTTACTGCCATTAAAAAAGTCAGATAGGCAGCATGTACAAACATGGGTTGGTACATAGGCAAATTCTGTATTTTTACCACTGTGGTGAACCTGATTGGTTATTAAAATAAGAAAGAGCCAATTAAAATCCATACAGCTGTTTGTTCATACTTTGTTTTCTGGTGGACATTTTGGACCGTATTTCCAATTTTGCTTAACATTTTATAATTACAGCCAATGATGAGGTGTGTGTGATGTGTGTTTGTGTCTGTAACCTGATATTCATAATTGACTATCCGATTGTTACCATAAATGGTCCACTTAAGGCTAGTACTTAAGATTGTGACATTTATATACTTTGATGCCTTATTTTGTTACTTGTGGTTCGATTCTCAAAACATTAAATTCTTCCCATTAAATTCTTCCATTAAACTGTAGCTATAACAGTTTTTTTATTTCTGCGACCAAGTAATGCTGTTTTCTTGTCTACATTTGCTCAGGTTTAAGTAATTAATTTACTCCCTCCCCCCAACATTACTCAGTTATGCAAATTTGCATAATTGAATTTTCTTATGAAGAAGAATGAGTTCTTATGAGTTTTTTTTTTTTTGTTCAAAACTGAGAACAAGGCATTCTGAAATCAATTAAAAGAAAGATTTTCATTTTACTAGCAATGTTTTTCCTTGCATTTGTACTGCTGTTATTTTCTTACCTAGTCAGTGTTTCTGTCAAAAGCAGTTTAGGGCTATACTCATCAGATTGGGTATTTCAGCGATTTAGGTTAAAGGAATCGTAGCCTCAGCAGAATATTATTGCGGGAGTTGAACCAGCAACCTCCAGTTCCAGCATTGTGCCCTTAACCCCCATGCAAAATACTGTCCTTTTTCCTGTTCGTAAGACATAATCGAAGAACAAAGTTGCAGTTTTTATTATTCTGAAACTGGCCCTGCCCAACAAGCTCTACCCTTAGATAATCCCGTTGCCCACAAAACTGTCCAAAGGTGCAGCTGGGCCTGTTTTAAAACGTGAATCTCTTCACTTCACTGTGGTGTTTGTTGGGTCTTGCCGGTCAATAATACCGAAAACAGTTCTTTAAATATCGACAATTTTCGTCCCCAGGGTGTTGGGGAACTATGTCCTCATGTTTGGATTGCCATGCACAGATGTTCAGAAATGGCACAAGGCTCTTCTGTCCCACTCCTTTCTTCCTGTCCCTGTTGTTACTGTCAATATAAGGCTGCTTCCAGTAAGGTGCCCCCCCCCCCTCCCCCCCGCAGCGAGGCGGAATCCAGGTGGTGTGGGATTCCATTTACGCCGCCTGTGTTGAATTACAGTGGGCCGTATATGTCTCCACTCCCTTGGTGTTATTGGGGTGAGAAATTACCAGAACGTGCAACGCCCCTGGAACGGGGGTGAATAGATTTATGGCTATTTTGGGGGGAGGTTCCGAGTTTCCAGTCTCGAAATGCAGCCGAAAACTTGCATCATCTCACGAGGTCTAGCTGCTCAAAGTGTTCGAGAAGCCCTCAATGATGTCTCATCGGACGTCTCAGCATCTGGCACTCGAAGATATCTGCAAGAAAAGAAATTCCTAATGAAAAATCATTATAAAACATCACAGTAAACCAATTAGCTTGGTTGGTTCTCTCTTTCAGAGATAAACGCTGGTTTCTCAAATGCCACAATGATCATTATTATTACTATTATTATTGATATTACACAGTAATGATAATAAAATAATAATTATAATAATATTATACAGTAGTAATAAAAGTAAATGCCTATGGTACTGTACCTTGAGCCAACGAACGGCTGAAGCCAAGCCATGTTTTCATGAGAGTCACAAAGCCACACATGCATTCATCATTATTTAAATCAGATTTTTAATATAATAGGCTTTATGGCAGTTCACGTGTAAGTGCAAGTTCTCCTTAAGTCAAACGGGGGCCTGCCTGTATTATACTTTTTTCGCTTTAAGTACAAAGTCCAGAGGTATACAGGCGGCTCGAGGTCTTAGACCTAGGAAGCAAACACGGAATTTGGTGCTTTTTGCACCCCAGCTGCCCCTGTCTTCTTAATGCCGGCATCTTAGTTGTGTCACGGAGATTATAGGAAATACTTTTTGGTTGTGCATCCCTGAGCTCCGTGGTTGCCTGCCGGCGTCTGTCTTGATGTTGTGTAACGGTATGACAGCTAGCTGCAAAATACGGTTAAACTGCACTAACATGCTTTGGAGATTAGTGCTTTATTCTGGCTTATGTGTATTTTTAACGTAGCGCTGACTGGCATGAATAGACTAGCTTATCACAGGCTGGATGTCGCTATGAACCACTGACCTCGTGACGTTCGTCACCTTTCTTTGCTTTTGCTACGCTGCCTTTTGAAGCCATAAAGAGGGTTTAAGTGCAGAGGCGTAGTGCCATGTGACTAGTGGGATCCTGGTCATATGATGCCTTGTTTGATACCCATTCAATGCCTGAATTAAAATGGATCATCGAGCCTGAAAGGCGGCCTTGTCTCCGCTTAACCTGGGAGAGACAGGTGGTACCCAATACACCCCAAACAACCCCCTCCATTGCCTATTGACTCTCCAGAACTGGGCCGGTTCTGACGGCGCCAGGGGGTCTGCGGGGTGTCATTGGGCTATTTCGGGTGGGACGCATGCGCCGTGGGTTTTTCTTTGCAAACCGCAGACTGACGGGAATGCGACTGCCGTGGCGATGCAGTTGCGCAGGGTGTCTGGTGTAACCCCCCCCGTAGACCCTGGCATCCATGAGAGAGGCCCCCTGGACGTCCACAATCAAGAAGCAGTTTCACTGTAGCTCTCCTTCATGTTGGCTAGTAAGACAATATATTCTGTAATTCATCATGTAGCCTTTATACAGCCATTGAGTGAAACGAGCCATAAAGCACAAATTTAGATTTTCAAGATACCTAGTTTTACATATTAAATTAATGTTAAGGCACACAATTGAATTATGGTAGGTTTATTTCTTTGTGATGAATATAAATCCATTCCAGACATAGTTCTATATTACAGAACTTAGACCTTAAGGCTTACGCATTCCTTTTGCCTTTCTTAACGACGATCCCGCTGTCGCATTTGTGAGACTCTCTTGACACACAGGGATGAAATTCTTTCATCTCTTACTGCTGTTTGACATCATCCCTACCGAAGAAGCCTGTATGACTTGTATCCTTGTGGTGTGTATTGTTCAGTCAGGGGGGTGGGGCGGGGGGCTTTTGGGACGGCCCGGCGCTCAGAGGTGAAGCCGTCGTTCTATCTGCCCGCGGCATGTATGCAGCAGAAGATGTGTGCCTTTGTCCTCTGTAGCCGAGAAGTGAATTTCAGATTACAAACCCGCTACAGTTTCCTTCTCTTCTAGGAATACAGATGTGGCAAGATGCCTCCAGCAACTTCTGATCTTATTAAAAGCGAAACTGAGGAATCTGCTTTTATAATGTCAGTGCTTGATCACTTCTCCTTCCCGTCCAATCCTCTCTCCATTTTCTTCTCTTATTGCACGGTGTACAGTGGCCTCTTTAAGTCAGTGTGTTCATCAGTGGATCCTTCAACTAATGGGCGGTCGGAAGTCTTGTATTTTTATGCCTGTCATGGACGTGCACATGATCATAGTCACCATGACCTCATTATGTTTTTGCGTAATGGTGATTGATGGTACCGTGGTATTATGTTCTTTAGACTACGTTTGGCAATCTGGGCAAAAGCTCTGAAGTATCTTGGACTTTTTTGCAAATGCTTAAAGAATAGCATGCTCTATTTAAAATCCAAAAAGTACAATCGTGGTCATAAATTAACAGTAATGAGATGTGGCCTTCATCCCGACAACCCTGACCTGGCAAAGCAGTTAAAATACAGATTGATGGATGTATTTGGTCATTGCTAGATTTCAGAAAGCCACATCATCACTGACAATGAGTTATATGAATTGTTATGTATG